TTTTAAAAAAAACAACATTAGCTTTAAAAAAACAACATTAGCTTTTTAAAAATCAACAGTAACTTTAAGGAAACAACAGTAGCTTTTTAAAAATCAACAGTAACTTTAAGGAAACAACAGTAGCTTTAAAAAAACAACATTAGCTTTAAGGAAACAACACTAGCTTTAAAAAACCAACAACAGAGGCTTGAAACATGACAACATGACAAAGGCTACCCAAACAAAATTCATAGCTGTTTTTTGTTTTTTGTTTCATTCAGATTCAATGGACAATGACCTCAATGGTAATTTAGCAGGAATCCAAGATGACTATCAACGAGGTGTTGAACTTTGAAACTCCACAATAAATTGCCTGACTATTATCAGTAATAACATGTGAGGACTTGTGGGAAATCTCTGTCTGTCAACTCCGCGATTTTCAAAGTTTAACTCTTTCACAGTGGAGTTTTGTATAGTATTAGATTCCAAACTTTATTTAACTTATTCCTCTGTGTATTGTTTTCCGTACTGTAGCTATAACGGCAATTTATCAGCAAATCAGTTTGGATTTGTTTTCGAAATATAGGTCATAAACAAGATTTTAAACAAAGATTTTTTTTGTGGGTCAGTTTTCCTCATTGTGTACAGAAAGACTTTATTGTTCTGAGAAATTCAGAAGATGTTGTGCACCATTCTCATATCTAGTCCTATGTCTTAGGTTCTTGTATTCTAGAGAAACTTCTCTTTCAGAATGCTGGTCAGAGTAACTTAAAGAATTCTATGACTGTATTTATCATCTTGGAATGCCTTTTCAGAGAGTCCACATAGCTCAAAGTGTTCTTTGTCATTTGGGTTTGTTACCTTCACTTGGCTTTTAAAGAATCCACATCGATAAAAAACAGTATTTGATCCCTTCTAGAGAGTCCACGAAGACCATAATGTTATTTTAAATATATGGGTTTGTAATTCCAGCTTTAGAGAGTACACATAGCTTATAGTGTTATTTGGTATTTAGGTTTGTTACTTCAGCATCCTTCTTCAGAGAGTCGACATAGCACAAAATGTTCATGAATATATGGGTTTGTTACCTCGGCAACTCTTTAAGAGAGTACACATAGCTTAAAATTGTATTTGGTATTTAGGTTTGTTACATTGGCATCACTTTAAGAGAGTACACATAGCTTCAAATGTTATTTGGTATTTAGGTTTGTTACATTGGCATCTCTTTAAGAGAGTTGATTCTAATCAAACCACTGGTCACTATTGGACTATGAAAGAATGAGGTTAACGGGAAAATTTGATTTTCTCATGGGAAATTCTCAATGTGTTAACTGGAAACTAAAACTAAGATGTGTGCGAAAGTCCTATATTAGTAGTTAAAAATAGCAACTTTGTTTTCCACTTTTGGCGCCATATTCCCTCTGTGTTTAGAGACAGTACCTTTAGTCACGATTGTAGTTGGTCATTTGGTGTTAGTTTGGTTTCTTTGGATGCTCATATCCTTTTGAATGGTGCTATAAAATAAGGTCTTGTGTTCTACAGGCTGGTCACATTAAAGATCCCTGGACAGTTGGAAATTCAACATAATAGATCATTTGGCACTAGTTTGGTGTCCCTTTGTCAATGATGCAGATCACAGGAGTTGACAAGGGAGAAGTGTTTATTTGTTTGGATTGGACCTCATGTGCTGCAGGCTGTGTACGTTAAAGATCCCTTGACAGTTAAAAATCCCAAAGAGATTAGATTAATGCTGCTGTCCATGTAAAAATTCCCTCATTGCACACTGCATGACATTGCCTTTCCTCTTTAGTCCAATCTAGAACCGGTAAGTAGAACCTTTAAATCTTAATGCTCTTCAATTTCTGATATATTGCCTTCAAATGTGACTTTTGTCAGCTTTTTTCTTTGCTGATATAAAATGGCCATCGGAGTCTGTGCAGGCATTTATCATGCAGCTTAAAGCAAAAGAATTTGAAAATATTAAAGCCTTTTAAAGGAAAATCAATCTATTGGCTCGGTGAAGATAAAAGACATGAAAGGAAAGGTTTATCCCCTCTTTATTTCCTTACAAGTTTTCATGCTAATTCTCAGTAAAGCACGGATCATGGAATATTAACTGATGTGTGTTTTAACGACAGAAAGTGAAAAATGAGTAATCCTATTTATTTGTTAATAGTTTGTTTTTGCAGAACTTCATTCTGTGGAAATTGTACGGATTCTCATTTGAATGAAATGGACTTTTACGTCCTACTTTTCTGCACTTGATTGGACTATTAAGACAGGCAATGCCATGAAGTCTGCAATGAAGGAAAAAATTTTTTCACAGATAAGTGCATTAACCTACTCTTCTGTCAATTTCCAATTTTCAAGGGATTTTGAATGTGCACACTCTGTAGCACACAGGGCTTTGTTAATATTTTTAATCAAACTTGTGATTTGAGATGACTGTACTCCTTTCATACCTATGTCTCTGTCCCCCCCTGGAACTTAAGTCCATCTGCTCTGAAAAAAAAAGTCTGCTAGTTTTTATTTTTATATTATACCAAGAAATATGATTTATTAAAGTAACAACAATTTTGTAGGATACCTATTAGTCTGATCTATCTTAAAATTGTCATTTTTGACAGATTTATGTCTGGTTATTTTGAAATCATCTGGAATTCAAGGATGCTAATAAAATAGTTGAAATATGTCTATAATGGTTTTAACATTTTTCAGCTCTCATTTTTGTCATATCTGATAAATCTATGACGGCAACTGATTTTGTAAATTGTTTAATTTTTGTAATGTCGATGAAATTGTGTTGTCTTTTGCCAGTCAGGGTTGCAATGCAGGTAAGAGGGACTGACATGGAAAAAGCGTCTAGTTGTTCCAGTCGACTATAAACTAGCTGTGCTCGTTAAAGGTCTGCGTATAAAAGTCTAAGAAGATGATGGCCATGATCCTCAAAAATATCTTAAGATAAAAATTTGTCATAAGTAAAGATTTTTTCATTGAGAAATACCATACTTATGATAAAAATTTGTTCTAAGATTTTTTGTGAATAAGACCTCAAAATGTAGGCCTGAAAAAAAAAAACCTGTCACTATGGAAGCGAAACGTTTTTTATGAAAACACCATTGCCTTTCATTCCCTCCATGCATCAGATGTTGCCGAGAAAAGATATAAGTTAGTCCAACACATTTTATTTTACATTTGTACAGTCAATTACTTTTGCAAACAAACAAATTCATAATATCAACAATTAATGATAATAAATATTCATCATCTCGATTCATAGATATTTTATAATAGAAATCAAGAAACTTAAACATGTTTGTTTTTTATATAAACACCTACATTGAATTAATAACAACATAAGACACTCATTTTTCATTTATAACCTTCATATAAACTTTTATATTAATTTATTTGTCATAATATAACTTTATAACATGTTTTATAACCTTCATATAAATTGTTATAATAACTTATTTTTCATAATATAACCTTATAACATAACATGTTTTATAACATTCATATTAATTGTTATAATAACTTATTTTTCATAATATAACCTTATAACATAACATGTCTTATAACCTTCATATAAATTGTTATAATAACTTATTTGTCATAATGTAAGCTTATAACATAACATATTTTATAACCTTCATATAAATTGTTATAATAACTTATTTGTCATAATGTAACCTTATAACATAACATATCTTATAACCTTCATATAAATTGTTATAATAACATATTTTTCAAAATATAAATTAATGAACAGTTAATCACAATATCTGCAGTTTAATATAAATTTTATATTAATGTTTTTACAATTAATATTGTTTATAACATAACCTTGATAATCCTAACTTTGTAAGAATAATTCATATTTTCAAACAAATTTTGAAACGTTATTTCTTTTAAAACGTAAGATAAAAAATTCCCATATTTCATAATTTCAAAATTTTATAACATTAATGTTTTTTCACAACATGATCTATTATAGCATTAATATTTCTTCCTCGTGAGATATGTTTCATTTTTATAACATAAACGTAGTATTTTAGGCCTCTGTTCTCTGATTCCAAACCGTTTAGACTCATCCTATCCCTTCAGTTAGCCACCCCCGGAACCCTAGGTAACCCTAGAAGCCCCAGTAGCTTTTTAAAGATGTTAATACTTCAACCAAGTTAAGAATTGTTAAAATAGTCTAAAAATCAAAGTGATTTTCATGTGAAAAAGTGTTTAACCCTAACCCTCTATGAAGTAAAAAGCAAATATTGTCACAGCTCATCTGTTGTTGGTATGGCCCAAGGATTTGACAAGAAGCTTCACTCGGCATGCAGAGCTCTTCTCCATCTCTCTATGAAGTGGATTGCAAATCGACACATCTCTTCTGATCATGGCATGCCTTATAGGATATGATACACTTCATTAAATGCAGAACTTATTAGCAATCTTCTATGGAGAGTTTGACACCATATTTGCATTATTTAATACAGAGCTTATTGCAACTTCCTTTTAAGTGAATTGCTAAATAAAAATCGTGTTGTGGGAAATAATTTGCAAAATAAATAATGGTCTACTTTTATTCAAAACATTTCTACATCATGAAGCATAAATTTATAAACTTAAAATGGATTGTAAAAAGGTTTTCTAGCCTTTCTGTATCAGGGTCTATTTGCACCATGCCAAATCACAAAATATCCCCTATGCCCTTGAAAGGATATTTGCTATTTCAGCTTACAGACCAATATCAGCTATCTGTAGCACTTTCCATAATGTAAATCTGACTTCTGGTTTGTGAAAGCAGTAAAAATTACAAATAGAATAGATAGTAAATGCATGTTAATACGCTAATAACAATCAAGTCAACTCTGTTATTGGTACTTTTTCATTAATTGCAGACAAGACAGACATTAGATTTTCATTTTAAAAAGTGTTACACATAGCTGAAAATGAGCTCTATCAGTTAAGATAGTTAAAATAAGGCTCATAAACCTTTTTACAATCGAATTAACTAAAGAAACTCAAACTTGAGTGGTTTCAGTTTTGACCATGGTATAGCTCGTTCCATTTTGCGATGGATTTTTGTTGAAGAAAGGCCTAAAATATTTACCTACGAACAAACTTTTAAACGTGTTTCGAAACTGTTGACTCATTATACAATACAAAATAAAATTAACTGCACTGTTGATTAATACAAGTAGATCCATCAGATCACCGAGGTTCACGTAAACTCGGGAAAAGAAGTCCGTGTTCACGGCACTGATCAAAGCCAATATCCCTTGGGGAAGCTCAGTGATCACGAAAGTCAACACCACAAGCACCAACATCATGGTGGTTCGATTATGTTCACTGCTGGCGTTATCATGATCCGAGGCACGATTCACCATTCCCAACAGACGCGAGCGTCGTTTTTTCGCTTCGTGCATGGCGATGATTATCAGAGTACTTAAGACAGTCAGCAGTATACATGGTAGAATTTTTATAACCACGCCGAATAACCAACGCACGAACATTTCATAAGCAGGATATCTGACAGCAATCTCCGAGGAGACGACCCAAAAACACGAGGTCATATTGTTACTCTTTCCATAATCAATCACCGTATACATCAAATAATTAGGTAAACAAATTAAAATAGTCGCACCAACGATGGCCATCACGGTTACTCTCGCTCGAGCCAAACTACACATCACCATCGCCATGGCGTGCTGACAGACAAAAATATAACGAAAAACCGCCAAAGACACTGTTAACCACATAGCCATATTGTGACATGTTACTATAAATAGATTATGAAAGAGAATAAAGTACATCCATTCCTTCGAATGATTGGTCCCGTCACAATCAGGCCGCGATATAATGTACAGATAACAGGCCATTATGGGATACGTGCTCATCGTGAGCATATCAGCAATGGCTAAGGCGGTGAGAATATAATTTGTCGGTGACGACATGTGTTTTCGTGTTAACACCACAATATTCAAAATGTTGGAAATAATTCCAAATATACACACAACAATACTGAAATATCCATGAATGTTGCCATAGGTGATGGCGAATTGAACCATGGGGCTCAAAGTTGTCGTGTTCGGTGTGAGCGTTGTCACTTCAGCCATTTCAGTCTCCACTGTGATCTCCGATTCCTGAATGGGAATGAAAGATACAGAACTGTTCATGTCAGAATACATTGTATGCAATCTTGGTGTATTCATTTTTCAACTTTTTTAACTTCAGCAATCCAGTTCTCGAAAAATCTAACAATCAGAAATAATTCTTCCAGTCTGAAAATCACATTTCATGGATTCCTGCTATAATTTTTTCGCAGCTGTGTAGAACACAATTGTTAGATTCCAATTCACAGATGAATTTCACAACTGATTTGAAGTTTTGTCTGCTTGAAGAGTGTTAAAGATTTTTTTAACACTGTAATTTCTTCCTACGAACAACTGTTAACAGAATTTGTAAAGCTTGTATGTTATCACTGTTTTAATAAATAAACGCTGTATTCTTAGAGTAACACTGTTTTAATCAGCCAACGTTAATTCCTTTACATAATTCTTTCAATGTAACACTGTTTTTTTTTAAACGAACACTGTACTCGAGGTGTAACACTGTTTTATAAACAAATTTTGTAGTTTTGGTCTAACACTGTTATTTAAACAACATATCTTCTCTGTTATAGTCACGATTCTCTGTTTACAACGCAATACTCTAAATATAAATCAGTGATTTTCATTAACCAACACGTTATCTGCACAACACAATTTTCTTTGATGCAACACAATATTCAAGGTGTATGTCTGCTTTAAAGACACAGTTATAATAGCCAACACGATATCAGCAATTTAACATTGTTTTATAAACCAACACAATTTTCTCTCTGTAAAACTAGGCTTTATAACCAACACGATATTCAAGGTGTATCTCTGCTTTAAAAACACAGTTATAATAGCCAACACGATATCAGCAATTTAACATTGTTTTATAAACGAACACAATTTCCTCTCTGTAAAACTAGGCTTTCAGTTTACATAAATACGAATCCAACACTCCCAAAAATCTCCCAGGAGTGGCCACTTTAAGTGTTTATTTTCGAATTTCTAGGATTTTTGGCACTTAATTTTCAACTATTTAATGAAGTGTGATAATTACACAAATAGCGATGTACTCATAAGTGTTTATGTAACAAAAGGCACTGTGATAAATGAACGTTAAAATCGTAGTTCTGTTTCTCAACCAATCATCTTGTAGATTTTGTCATCATACTGCAGTAATGGCTGACATCTGAAAAAACAAAAATCAAGAAATTAAGAAATATGTCAATATTGTTGAACAGAGATTGAATGGGTTGGAATATACAAAATTTCATATGCTAATGACTAGTTATAATTTGGCATATATCCAGTGTTAAGGGTAACTTTATGTTTGAAGGGACTGAAGGCGTCAATAAGAAATTACATCATAAAGTCATACTTGACATTTTAGATTTTTTTTTCAGACTCAGTGTTTAAAGGGTTAATAGCTCAATCAGTAGTGAGTTGGAATGCTGTTTGCTGTCAATCGAATACAAATTCTGATGCCATGGCCTGTTATTTATTCAATTGCCAACACATAAAATACATCAGTAATAAATGTAATATTTGCCCAAGTGCAATAGCTATTAGCATGTTAGATTGTCATCTGCTAGGCGATTAGGTGCCGTGGGTTTGAATCCCTATCACAATAATAATCATTCTGTCATGGATAATGCCTTTTGTAATGTATACTGCATGTAAATTTTCACCCACGCATATCAAGATGCATCAACCTGAAGGTCAGGGTCATAGGGAGAATATATTTCATAATTCCGAGTGTCATTTGATATCAGTGATGAGTTCCTAGTCTCCAGGGAAGAATTGGAGGAATGAATTAATAGAAAATCGCGGAATTTATTCAAATTTATTTATGTCTTCTGCGATGCTGTCTGACACAGACCTGGAATTGACAGCGTTTGACTGGCAGAGTTATAATTAGGATTTTATGATACGTCGGACACAATTATGATCTTCGGAACGGAAAGAATTTTTACGCTAAATGAGAGGCAAATATTCATGAAATTTCAATGAAAAATGATTGTGAATGGATTTTCAAGTAATAAGTAAATAAAAAACTATAATCTCATAAGGAATTAAAGAGCTCTAGCTTAAAAAATGAACAGAATTTATTTTGATAAGTTTTCTATAGATTCTGTTATGATCAAGGGCATAAGAGTGTACTGGTAACTTCAAATGGCAAAGACAATAAAATCTTCATGTAAATAATCTTCAGAAGTACTAGACATGTACAAAAAATCACATAATTAGTTAAAAAATACTTCAAACTAGGAATTTTACTTACTATGTCTATAGATGTCTTTTCTATATATCACAGAGTATCTTAAATTGACAAGTCGTCATTTTTACATTAAAACCCAGATAATTCTGGACAGACATGGATTTAAAGGCTCAAATTTTGACAGTGAGGTATGATTACTATCACTGATTGGCTTGGCTGAAGATAATCCTGTTTTTCGAGACTATAATATGATTCGTCAAAAAAAAATGGCGCATCTGTCTCTTTAATGTGCCTGGTAAATCATACAAAATGAGATGATTTTTTCAAAAAATAATTCCTTATATTATTTTCTTCTATTTAAAGGGATTGTAAAGAGGTTTTTTTAACCTTTTATGCGTATAGGGGACACATCAATTTGCACCATTCCGATTTCCGGTCAGATGTCTCTGGTTCCTCTAAAACTAAGCTGGTTCCACTAAAACTAAGCTGGTTCCACTAAAACTAAGCTGGTTCCACTAAAACTAAGCTGGTTCCACTAAAACTAAGCATTTTATGATGTCACTACTGCAAAAGCTGCTTTTGATATACAAAAACCTTATTGATAATGACGTCATAAAACGTATAGTTTATGTGGACTTGCTGGAACCACAGACCTCTGACTGAAAATATGAAGTTGCAAATTGATGCTATCAGTGTCCCAGATACACATAAAAGTGTAGAAAACCTCTTTACAATCAGTCAGACACCATGCAGTGTATAATGAGGGATATTTTGCCAGGATGAGAGCATCAAGATAAGGTCAAGGAGTACAATATTTTAAATAGACCTATTAAGATATGATGCTATCATCTAAATCATATTCCCAGTATGATATCTTCTAGATAAATTACTTGCTTGATTGTCCAAATAAGATATAAACAAGATTCAACAAACTCAATTTACATTATCAACATTGGAGGTAGACCTCCGTTTGGCAGTTAGTCATCTGAGTGATGTGTTTTATGCACAAGGATTAACAAGGATAACAATTTAGATTAACAAGGATAACAATTTAGGTTAACAAGGATAACAACTTAGGTTAACAAGGATAACAACTTAGGTTAACAAGGATAACAACTTAGGTTAACAAGGATAACCACTTAGGTTAACAAGGATAACCACTTAGGTTAACAAGGATAACAACTTAGGTTCATAAGAACAATTTATGTTCACAAGGATAACAACTAAGGTTAACAAGCATAACCTTTTAGGTTCACAAGGATAACCACTTATGTTCATAAGGATAACAACTTGATAACAAGGATAACAACTTAAGTTCATAAGGATAACAATGATAACAACTTAAGTCACTGTGAACACTATTACTGATTATGTAAGCTAAAAAAATTCCTGTTTCTGAAACTAGGGTATGATTGGTCGAATGGATAGTGAAGGTACTCCTTTAACTTTCCTTCCAAAAACATGGAAATTTGCCTTTAAATGAGACTTCAAATCAGTTTGCCAATAATTCTAACTACTTCTCTATCTACATACGCAAAGCAGGCCTATCTGAATATGTTTTTATTCTTATTTTAATTAAATTACACTTAAGAAAAAAATGTGTGAAGGTGAAAAAAACCTTCGACTTAAGTCAATTAGCTTAGTTAAAGTCTTGCTTAAGGAGTTAACTCTTTTTTTACCTTTTTATTGGAACTCTTCTTCATTGGTGTTCATTATTTCTCATCTCGTGTTTAACGCATTATAACTTCTTCTGGCGTTCAGTTTTAAAAATTTGTTTGTAACACTCTCAATTTACGTTTAACACTTAAGCCGTCAATTTGAAAATCATTTTTGAAACTTCTCAAGTGACAAATTGTTTAAAATTTTTCAAAACAGAAAATTTTTAGTTTACCTGATTGACATGTGAAGAATTTTCACACAAAATTTACGATATTTTTTGTAACGAAAAATTGGCTTTTCAACAAGTAATTACAGTTTTCACATTTACAATTTGATTAGTTGTTGGTTTTTTCTTACGCATGTTTCAAATCATCGTGGATTCTTCAAAGTTAAAGGTAGAATTGTTCCAAAATGTTAAATCCGGTAGCATCTCTATAATTACAGGAATTACAGGAACCACAGACATCTGACAGAAAATTTGAAGAATGCAAATAGACGCCATAAATGGTCTCAAAAGACATAAAAAGCTACAAAGTCTCTTTTAATATAAAAACTTGGTATTTACAGAAACTCCTTTTTAACGACCTAAAACACTTAAGAATAAATATAAAAACTTTTTCGTAATGGTTCATTAAAGATAAAAAAACCTCTCTAGAGTCAAAAGTAGAAAATATTTTTAGAAACTATTAATTATAAACTCTATTATCAAGTCTCTTAAAAACACACCTGGCTGAAGACTTTTCAAAATTTTTCAAAAAATAATGAACAAATAAAGTCGTTAAATCAATTTGTTTTAAAATATATATGAAATATAAAAAAATCAATTTAGGTTTTTGTAAATGTCATAATGGGTGAAAAATCTATAACCATCCCCCGACTGAAAGACAAAAGGGGTAGGAGTTCTTTAGAAATAAATTTTTATATTTTTTTATAATTTTTTCATGACATTACAATGAAACAAACTTCATATTTCTGCTATAAAGCAATGAAATAATGGGAATTATAGAGGGTTATGATAAAAAAAGGCCCGAAAAGTAATAGTTCATAATCTCCCATAAGGAGAGCTCAGAGGAGCATACCGTTTTTACCTCCCTTA